GGGCTGCGGGGAGGACATGTTCCAGCTGCGGTGCTCCGCGGCTCCCTTCTGGAAATGACAGCCGATAGCAGCAGGCGGGAGGCAGCTAATTACACCTCTGCTTCCCCGGGCGCGGAGCGAGCCTCTGGCTCCCTTCCCCGGTGATATCCGTCGGTATTTTCACGTCCACTCGCCTCTCCGTGCATTACACCCCCCTCCCCCCCCCCGGGGACCAGCAGATCTGATGTGCGTGGCTTCGTATTTACCAAAATACTTCGGGAATAAAATAAGATCCCCTGCTGAAAGAAACAAGAAGCGGTGGCTGGGTTTGCAGCTTTCGCACTCGCACACAATAAATAATCTCGGGCTTTTTTTTTTTTCCGCCACTGTTCGTTGAAACAGTGTGTTTCACTGTGATAGTGTATTCAGGGGAGCAAATGTTCATTTGGAGAGATGAAAAAAAGATCAGTGTTTACTGTAAGGTTGTTAGCCTGGATGTAGTCTTGTTGAATTAGAATTAGATTTTAATAATTTATAAAGCAGGTTAGGGAAACTGTTACTAAATTTACAGCAGAGAAGTGTCAGTAAAGCTTCTTGCTGACACAATGATCCTGCAGTTTAAGTGATCTACTTTAGTCCCTGTCCATTATTATTATTTTGTTTTGGTAATTTAATTTTGAGAGAGCGTGCAAACATTTCTGCAGAAATGCTTACACTTTAATGACGCACGTGATGAGGAGGTGAATCTTTTTGATGAGATGAAATAGGGCCAACCAATTCAGGTTTTAAGAATATATTTTTGCTGATATTTCCAGAATTTGGTTTATGTAACAGGTAACTTTGTATGTTTTTTGGCGGACTGTTGAAATCTTAGAAGTGGGTTGCTAAAGTAGAGGCCATTCTGTTTCAGTTTATCTGACTTTTTTATTTATTAATCTTGGCTGGGGCCTGAATGCCCTGGTGATGGTGGCATTTTTTTTTCCCCCTCAGATGATAAACAAGACCAGTTTAAGGTACAGGTTCGTGTTGCTGATAGTATAGTATATTTAGAAAGCATAAGTTGGTAGTGAAAGAATACCTCAGGAGAAATCAAAAAGATGGAATGAGGTTTTTTCATTATTGTAATGCCAGCTGCACAGTTCAGCTTCTGGGTGCTGCACATGCTTCCTCGAAGAAGCTATAGAGTTTATACTTCCATTTTTGATAGATTTAGTGCACGTGTATGTAATTTTGCATTAAATAGTTCTTATCTTTTGGAACTTGTTTACACTGTTGCAATAAATCATGCTTTCTAAAGCTTTTCTTACAAAAGACAAACCCAAATAATGTCCGGTTCAATGGATTTAATAATTTATGAAGCATATGAGTAACCAAATATTTTAATAAAATAAGTACTCGAAAGTGTTCTCTATATTGTGGAATCAACTTCTTTTAGCATACGAGTCACTTTGGTAATTGAAGTCAACAGACATTGAGGATGAGTAATGCTTTCCAAGGACATGTTCTAAGACCCTGATCCTGCAAATGCTTATGCCGATGCTTAACTTTGCACGAGTGTGTAGCCTTACTGAAATCAACAGAGCTGTTCTTGTTAATGATCGTGTTATTAATGCAGATAGTTCTGTTGATTGCAGTAGAGGTGCACATGCTGGTGAAGTTAACTGTACACAGAGCTGCTTGAAATATGTAGGCCTAAATTCCTCCTATCTCGTTTCCCTTAAGTATTACTCATGTGTTTCACCAAGATGTGATGGGCCTTTTTGACAGACAGGACAAGACTGCTAAATACAGTAGCTGGATGGATTAATTCACTGTTTAAATGTTTCCTTTTGGTATTTCTTAGTAGTATGGAATCAGCTACAGGAGTACTACCAAGGCAAGTTTTATAGGAAGAAGCGATGCTTATTTCTTAGACCAGCTGATAGAGTTGGGAAACAAACAAACTTTTGCTTGCAGAAACCTTTTTTGGCTCTCTGCCTCTCCCTGCAAACCTTGTCTGGCTTATGCCCTTAGAACAGTTATGGCTACCACACTGCTATTCTTACAGAAACGCCAGAACGTGGAGTAACTATGTGTAAAGAGACTCGCAAGAAAATAACTGAGTATTTCTAAAATGGAGAATAAAGAAGTAATATGTAAAATTTGTCAGTGTTAGTGAAATTATGAAGCATAGCAGTACTTTTTGCTGTACTTTCTTAAATTTCTATAAAATATTGTATGTAGGTGTGGCAAATAAACTGAATTTTTCTTCTGTCCTTTTTTTTTTTTTTTGTCCTATGCATATTGATGACTTTAATGCCAAAAAAAATTTGTACCTTTTTGAGTACCCATTCTTTAGCATGCATGGTCCCTTGCAGAATGAGCTGAAATTACTTCGTCCCAAAGAATATATAGTTTAAGGCTACAATCCTATGTCAAGTCTACAGGTGTAGGAAGTTCTATTGACGTAATGATGTCAGCATTAGGTCTGAATTTTTCCTGTTGCAGGATTTTTGGCAAATGGGAGACAGATAAAAAAGTGAGCGAGAAGAATTATTACACTGTTCCATTAAGTTTATTCCATACAATTTGTACGTACGTTGGTGGGTTAGCTCTCTTAACAGTCTATCTGGGTGAGCTGTCAGCAGGAGAGTGGTGCAGAAAGGAGAAAATTTTTGGAACGTTTAGGTTAATCTTTACACATTTCATCCATTTGGAATACGTTTGTAACATTTGTTTTCCTTCAGTAGGGATATGTCCTCAGCACCAACTACTCCTCCATCAGTGGATAAAGTAGACGGATTTTCTCGGAAGTCCGTCAGAAAAGCCAGACAGAAGAGGTCACAAAGCTCCTCCCAGTTTAGGTCTCAGGGCAAGCCTATCGAGTTAACTCCCCTGCCTCTGCTAAAAGGTAAGATCAAGAATGATTTTTAATAAATAAAACAATTTTACTCTATAGCCAACTTCTAAACTCAAAGTATTCTATTGCCAGAAATTGCAGGGAGATTTTGCCAGCAATGAGAAATGTTTCATGCCAGAAATATATATGTATTTAAGATCTACAAAATATTTTATCTGTGATTTGAGGGTGTGGTAATTGTTTGCAATACTTTTGAAAGTTTTAAATGCTAATGTTAACCCGTACCATGACTTGAATTTTCAAGGCACTCAGGCTGTGTGTGAGTATTTTAGTTCGTGAATCCTCAACAGTTGACGTAAATGAACAGTAATTTTGGTAAGGGTAAATTGACTTGTGAGCAGAGGGAAACTGGTTTTTAGTATCTTTCCTTGACGTGTGGGTCTGCAACCTGTGACAGTGGTACCAAATGCAGCCCACAGACATACTTTGAATGCCCTACAGCAAGGTATTAGTGGGGAGATGGGACCCCCTCTCATACCATTTGTGAATGGGTAGCTCCCAGCTCCTGGCTTCTGCTGGGTTTTGAAATCGAGTGGTCCCATGAGCTGCAGCCTCTCAAGAGGAGAGATGCTGCCAGTCAGGTCTTAGGCAAGACATTACTGTTTTGAGAGCCTGCGTATCCCAGCTCTGGTTCTGCTGGCAGATTTAACCTCTAAATTGGGAAAGAAAATTATGATCCAGCATACTACTCATGAACGGATGCCAATATCTCTGTAATATTTTGAATGCTTCCCCTAAATCCCAGTTGCCACTGTATTTCAGTACAAATCCAGGGGCCAAAAGCACCTCTCAGAATTATGTCTGTCAGGTGAGGAAGGGGGAATTGCTTTTCAGAAGTGTTTCTTTTATACTGAATTCTCAAATAGTTTATCTAGTCTTGTGGATTTTTTCACTGTTCTTCTTTTCTGCTATAAGTAGTGAAAATAAGCATGGTTGGTGCTGATAATTCTGGAAAATAGCAAGATTAATAGGTTTGATATTATGTCTGTCCCGTTTTTGCTTTGTGGGCAAGTATATTTCCCACATTCCCTCCTCCACCTGTTTGACAAATTTGTTAATCAGAGTATTGAAATACGTAATAAATGTGTAATTGCACTTTGGTTGCATTTTTATCGTTCTTAATCCCACTTCTTCATAAGAAGGGAGGTTGCAAAAAAAAAAAACAAACCCCAAACCCAAACCAACCCTGACAAAAAACTCGCACCTTAATGTGTGTCTTTTAATTTAATTAAAAGTAGGATTCTAGGATTAGTTCTGGTGGAGTTGTCATTAAAATATTTGGGGCTTCTTTCTGTGGGATACCTGTAAGAATGCACAAATGGCCATACTGGGTCAAAAGAAAGGTCCATCTAGCCCTACTGCATTGTGCCTGCCAGTGACTGACTTGGAAGCATAGAGGAGAGTAGAAGAGCGGGAGGCCTGGAGTAATGCTGTACCAGAATGCTCCCCCCCCTTCAGCATTCCTTAATTTAGGGTCTGTTGGTGCCAGTGGATTTGACTTTGTAGTATGCAATGAGTATTATTTTTTGAATTTTTCTCATTGTTTTGTGACAGTATGATAAAGAAGCAAATGCTCCTCTGAAATAGTTGTAAAGCTCGGTTTTATACTTTTGCAGGTCATTTTTGATATGCAGGTCGTTACCTTTGAAAATACTAGTTGCTGCACTTCAGAAGGTGAATGGAGTTTATCCTTTGGCTTAAGTGGCTAGATTACTGGAAAACATTGAGATTTGTATAAATGAAGAAATTGATGTTACAATTATTCATTCTATTGTGTCGTCCATTCAGGGAATAAACTAGGCATGTGCACAAGCATAAGAAAAACATTGCCTTTGTCTGAGGACCTGGTCTTGCAGAAACATAGGCATGTGCAGGTGCTTAATTTGAGTACTGTAGCTAGTCCCCTGGATTGAGATATAAAACTATAATAAGATAAAACAAACAGATGGGGAGCTGAGAGTGTTGGTGAGACGTTTATGATTAGTGTCATAGTGAGTTACAGTGGTCCAGCTTCAAATTAAGAATCTGATCCTGTGAGTTCGTTTTCCCTCTTTGACTTAACGCGGATTCTCAGAGGCACAGGGGTACCTGTGCAGATTAATTTGCAGGATTTGGGCCTAACAGTCAGTCTGAAACAGCAGTGGTATTGGTCCCTGCTGAAGGGACACTGGCAGTTAAAAACTGTGCTACTGTTTGGACATACTCTTGACCTACATTAATATTTGTAACGATCAGGTTTATTAAACCTGAAAGAAGTGAGGAAACGATTTTCTCCTGCAGTTTTCATACTTTTCTTGGCCAACTGCCTGAAAAGTCCTAATGTTTTAAGCTCTCAGGTTTACACTTCTCTTCAAACAAGTGACTAGTCCTATTACTTCAGTCCAGTAGCCGTATGATTTCCAATTTTATCCTTATTGTTTGGGTCTTTCAAACCAAAACAGAGAAGAAATTTCAGCAAAATAGCTTTTTAAAGTCTCAGAAAAATGAAATCAGTTTGGAGATCTACAGTTGCTAAGTTTAAATAAACTTTTTGTTTTGGGTAAATTTCAAGTTTAATTAAACCTCTTCAGAAATATTTCAGTACAGGAAATTTTTAGAGGACAGTCCTCAAATTCAACCTTAGATGTATTTCATATTCATGATGGAGGGACTTTGCTGACAAAAACATACATGCTGTGCTCTCTTCTGTTCTTTTTTTTTTTTTAATAACTATATTGCATATTGACATGTGCAGGCTGCCTTCTCTCAAACAGCACTTTTATGGACTTCAGTATCTTCCTTGATTACAAGAATCATGTATGCAGAAAATAGATAAAGGCTTAGTCCATTCTTTGCAAGTTTTTATACTATGCCTGTCACCATAATGATTTGAGCACCTTCCAGTAGTGTATTAAGTGACATGACTACACATCTGTCACATCTTATCTGCTCTCATTCCTTTCCCTAGGGGCAGAGTCATATACAGTGAAATGGCTTGTTTTGGTAGTGTTTTAATGCAGTCTGTTGCCTTCTGTGAACATACATGCCTGTATTGCAAAAACAGATAGATAAGTCGGCGTTGTTGTTGTTCATTTGGTAATAAAAATCTTTCAGGAAAGAAAAATAGAAGAGACAGTATGTTTTGATGGTGGAATTTTCAGTATTGCTTATTCCAGAAGAAAAAAGTATAGAGAAATTAAGTTGTTACTGTTGGGTTTTTTTTGCTTGTTTGTTTTTTTTTTTTTGTTAACAGAAGTGTGCATATTGCATCTTTTTGTAAACAAACATTTAATGTATTTAGAAAATAAGATGTGCCTTCTGAGGCTCTATTGGGCTGAGTTTAGGCTTTCAAAAGCCACAAGCCAAAAAGCTGCTCTGTTTGCCTACAGTAAAGACTTAACTTTTCTGATAATTTAATTATATTTTTCTTTATTGCATTGTGAGTAAATCGAATTTGGAGTTACCTTTTTTTAATATGACTAATGTCCAATACTCTTACATATGTTTCAATCTCGTGTGTATTTTTAAATGTTTGCATGCTGTTGCCTGGTGTATCTTGCAGTGCGTTATGGCTTTTCATTTTGGCTTTACTTTCAAAGAGGCTGTTGGTGTCATCAAGGCTGGCAGGTTTGTGGCAGAGCAGCCCTGGTGAAGGGCCCTTTTCTGGGAATGAATACTTCCACCTCTGCACCTTAGTCGAACCCAGCCCTAGTTTCTTAACCAAGTTTGTGGCATGCCTCAAAATCATGCTTGTTCTGTAGAGGAAGATAGTATTGTGTGTGCATTGGATAGGTGTATTATTTATTGGAGGGTTATTTTACTTTCATTTTGTATAGATACTTTTTACTTAGAAGTCTCTAGAGGTAGATCGGTAGGAGTGCAATGTTAGAAAGCAATTCATTGGAAAACAGTATATTATAGTACTGGACATGTGAAAACAGAGCAATTTCAGTATTACCTGTAAAAGGGGAAGGGGGAGTTCATTTGTTTCTGCCAGTATCTGTAATGGTAGGGGAGTGTCCAGAGGATGAAGACATACATATAGATGACTAAAAAGATCATATGCCTTATGAATACATGGTTAGCATCTTGAGAAATTGGACAGAAAACTTGCATGTAATTCACAGTATTCCTCCCATCCCCCTCGCCCTCATTAAAAATACGTAAGTGAGGTAAAGCAAACCATCCAAAAGTAAGACTGTTAAATTTTACATCAATGTATCCCATTTTTGTAATTTCAAGGTGTGCCTATTTTTTCCTATCATCCTTCCACATTTTCCAATGATCCGATATAATTAGTGTAGTTTACTTTCAGGTTTTCTAAAACTATTATGTATTTTTGTTGAAAACAGTTCCAAGTATGATTTTTATTTTTAGATAATTTTGCTTCCTTAAAATAGGCACTCAGAATAGAAGTTGTCTGTCAACAATACTGATTGCTTTGCTACCTCAATATTATGAAATTTGTTGAGCTTCCAATACATTTATCAGATAGTTTCCATGGCATTAAGGAATTGCTGTAGTGGCAACAAAAGAGCATTGCATAGTCAAAAAGGGAAAATCTCTCTTCACTTGCTGTTTGCTTTTGATCATTATATTATTTCCCTATAGTTGAGATTTTATTTTAAGCTTTTCTTATGAGTCCTATCTATAGGTCAAATGCTGAATTTCCTAAATAGTAAAAAATCCTACCAACTCCAAAAGACTCTTGACTAAGTGAGAACTGCGAGATGTGCGCCTTCTTTTTCAAATACAATTACTTTTGATTTTTAAAAATCTCCTTTATCATAAAAAAGCCTGTTTTTTTCAGACTTACGCATACCGCCTTCAGAACTGTACATATGGGAAATAGTTACGGTTTGAGTTGTAGAAGAAGAAAGATAGAGCTTCTATTTTCTGTTGACTTCCATGGGGGTTGACTGCCTGTCTTTTCTGTGCTGCTCTCCATTTGTGAAATTTGGAATGCTTTAAAGATATCAAGAAACTGTTAATAATATACCTAAGCTAAATAC